CCCCCCTAGTTGAATAAAACCCCTTAGTGTGGTTGCGTTTTTCGTTGTTTAAGTAGAATTTCAATACATTTTTTAAAACATCTCCGCGTGAACGATTTTAGGTGATGCAACTTTCAGCGTGTCTTGCCTGTCAGCCATGACGTCAAACGTCTTTTTCCTCAACCTGCATTTCGGGTGCCGTGCCGTGACGACAATGATGTGGTGGTGACTGCTGCTAATTTAATCTAGTTTAATCTATTTCCAGGTCATAATCAGACAAAATGAGCAACGACACTGAAGTGGATATGAAAGATGTGGAGCTCAATGAGGTGGAGCAGGAGAAGCAGCCCATGACAGAAGGAGATGCTGGAAACAATTATGCCATTTCACCTGTAACCGAGAAGAATGGCATTGTGAAAGTGAAGATTCCAGATGAGGAGTCCAAATTCACTGGTCTATCCAAAGAAGAGCTCATGAAGGTCGCTGGAACACCAGGGTGGGTAACTCATGTGTGCTTATACCTCATTTTCTTTCAGTTACATTGAGGTGAGGATCTCGCAGTTTGCAGGAACACAGTTGATTTAATCGTTCTGTTGTTTTTTTAAATAGGTGGGTTCGAGTTCGTTGGGCACTACTGATTCTTTTCTGGCTTGGTTGGCTTGGCATGCTGGCTGGTGCCATTGCCATCATTATTCAAGCTCCTCGATGCAAGCCCCTGCCTGAGATGAACTGGTGGAACAATGGACCGCTGTACCAGATTGGAGATGTTGGCGCCTTTACAAACTCTTCAGACATAAAAGGTAAAGACCAGTGACTCAGTAAGCCAACATCTAATCAACCAAAAAAGGTGTTTTGGAAATTAGGAGTAGTAATGGATTGCAGGGATGGTCAATTCAGGGATTAAAGATAGTTCAACATGTTCAAACGCATGATTGCTCTGTCCTTATGCTGCTGAATCGACAAATCTAGTTTCCTCCATCCACTTAAACACCATCCTGTTTGCTCAGCTCATAGAGTGAATCACTGTGAACTATATTTTGGTCATTTTAAAAGCAAGTGAGGCAGAACTTTTTTTTATATCTTTTAATAAATAATATCAGGGTACAAATGAGTTAGCATCAACATTAATATGGGATCTTTAAACTATATATTGCGTTTAGTCTATTTTGCAAAGTGGTGTATTAATTGTTCACTCTGACTAATTCACTTTAGATTTGGCTGGAAAGGTCCAGGCTTTGGATGATTTGAAGGTGAAGGGTCTGATCATTGGCCCGATTCACGTGTCCAGTGAAGACAAGCCGAACGAACTGAATTTGATTAAGATTTCTGAAGACGACGGTGTTCTGGCACAGTTTAAAGAAGTCATTACGGCTGCACACAAGAGAGGTGTGTGTGTGTATTTGTGTGTTTGTGTGTGTGTGTGTGTGTGTGTGTTCTTAATAGTAATAACTGTTTCTGTATTATACATTCATAACAATATATTTATATTTCATACATTTAATATTAAACAATATTAACTTGTGAATAATTGTATTTTTATTATGCTACTTTTAATGTTTTAATGTTTGTTTACCCTTTCTGTAGGCATCTCCGTTATTTTGGACTTGACCCCTAACTATAAAGGAAAAGATCCCTGGTTTTCCGATGCTGTCAACACTGTGCAGAAAGTTGAGGTATGACCTTTACTGGCATGATTCTCTGCCCATTATTAAACTTAATTTGTGTATCTTTTTTTCTCGAATAATAACTATGATGCTTGTCTTTACAGCCTGCTCTGATATTTTGGCTAAAACAAGGTGTAGATGGATTCCTCTTCTATGGTGTTGAGAAGGTTGCAGCTGCTGCCCCGACTTTTTGGAGTGATGTCGTAGCCCTCATTCATAACCAGACGGACGCAGAAGGAAAAACAAAAAAGTGATTATTATTAATAATAATGAAAATAGACACACACTGCTTGTAGGATAAGAGACCCCTTGTGGTTGGTTGCAAATTTTACAGACCACAGGGAAATCAGCAGATTTGAAATTGTGTTTCCAGCTAACTAGCTCCATCTGGCGTTCAGTACTTCTGTCAAAGTAGTCAAGAACTGCCTTTTTGTTTTATGTAGTTCTCTGAGGTCGAGTTTTTTATTTTTTTTATACATCAGAAACACATAGTGTAAACTTAATGGGGTATTTTTGTTGCTGTTTTGACACTTCTTATCAGAAAACTTGGTGTGAAGGAAGATTTTATAATCAGAAGTAAATGCCCACTGATGTGATTGGTTAACCGTCTGCATGTTTAAAACTTTAAAATGCTTTCCTTTTGAGATTAGGTACTAAAGTTAGGGTTAGCCTTTAAGTCTTTCTGAAAATCCTGTCTCGAATTAAACCTTTTTGGTAAACAAAACACATAATAATAAAACAAAAGGCTAAACAGACACTAATACAGAAGCAGGCAATGATCTTCTGCAGAGAAGAAGTTTAGCTACGCTATTATGTCATGTAATAGCACATTCCACTGCATGTTTTGCCTAACTGGTTTCAATAAAAGCTCTTTTTTAAACTAATGAGAAAGTTTAGAGTTCTGAAAACCAACAAATTAAATAATTTAGATTCCTCATTTCATAAACCTTTTAAATAACTCAATTGTTTTTTTTCCTTTCAGAGTCTTAATTGGCGTCACAGATCAGTCTTCTCCTGAAGAAATATCTGCAACGTTGAACAAAACTGGTGTGGACTTGCTCCTCTCTGGTGCTCTGAGGTCTAAATCTGTCCAGGAAGTTGCCCAAGCTGTTGAAAGCCTGTATTCCACTTACAATCAGACCCGACTGGCTTGGAACATCGGTGGACGAATTGCAGGACATCTGGCTTCAGTTGTGGGTTTCGCTAAAGTCAAACTGAGTCAACTTATGTTGCTCACTCTGCCAGGCACACCAGTGTTTAATTATGGCGATGAGATTGGACTGGAAGATGAGGTAAGTGCATTAAAGGTTTTATCTTATCAAAATGTTCACAGATCCAGGTGTTTTCCAAGAACAGATCCTAAAATGATGTGTTCTTTTTCCATTTAGGTCAACAAATACCCAACCATGTTGTGGAAATTCAATGATGAGGTAAGACATCTGCACATATTGCTGAATCTCCAACGTCATGTCAATCAGTGTTGTCCCCAGTAGATTTATTTATCATGTTTTGCTTTACAGGAGAAACAGAAGGAAATGAGCACTTACCATTCATTCTTTAAGAGCGTGAGTGTTAAAAGAATGAAGGAGCGCTCTCTGCAGCATGGAGAATACTTGCCTTTGTTCAATTCAGACTTCGCCATGGCCTACGTGCGAAGCTGGGACCAGAATGAACGCTACCTTATTGCACTCAACTGGCACTCAAATGAGACTGTCAGTCTTCAGCTGAAGCATGCTGACATTCCTGAAAGTGCTACAGTAGTGTTTAGTACATCTGGTGAAACAGAAGTCAATAAAGAGCTTAATCTTGCACAGCTAGAGGTGAACCCAGGAGAAGGTATAATGCTGAAGTTTCCATACACATCTTAAAGATGCATTGTAAACTCGTAGCTAGTGTGAGGTCATTGATTGTTACATGCAAAAGTATTTGATTTGGCTGTTCTGTTACAGTATTTATCCTGTTTTTAGTTCTACAACACTGGCTTAGAGCATCAGATTGTACTGTTACAAGTGTCACATGCACAGCCTAAACTGAACATGACTACTAAACTGAACTCTGAAGCTGGTAGTTTTACATTTGTTGTTACTATAGATACATTCCGTGGAAAGAAAATACATTTTTTTTTTATTTAGACCTTTTTTAATGTGTGTTTTTTAGTTTTAAACAGTGTCCTACACCAACTTTAAAATAACTGTTTCTTGTTCAATGTAATTGAAAAAAGACGCATGAAAATGAAAGCCGTGGACAATAAATTAAGTTAAGCAGTTCATCTTTGTTTGTTGTGTCATTGTATTCTTTCAGGTGGGGTTCCCTCATCTATTTTCATAAGTGTTGCCAGCATAATGAGATGTAACAGAGACGTGGTTGAATTATTAAAATCTGCCACCATAAAATGGAGCAGCTCTCATTGTCTCCAGCATAGCATGATATCAGGTGTCTCTACTAATGACTTCTTTATTTAGAGCTATTCATTATGCATATGGAGAGCTCAGTCTCACCTGGCTATTTTAATGCATTACGGATTTATGAACCCCTACAGAGATCGGCTCAAGAGTGATGAGGGAAACTGTCTCATATGTAAGTTATACGAGATCTCTGAGACTTAATCATCTGAACAAAAAAGTCTGATATGACTGATATTATGTGTACTGTTTAGATCTAAACGGAAATAGTTACATACTCAAAATTACACTGATAAATGAGCTCTTTTCTCATGTCCTCTACCTTCTCACAAACTTTTCTGGGTCAGTTACTCATGGGGGACCACAAACCTGACCAAGCCTACATTTTCAGGTAACACACAGTGGTTGCTTACAATCTAAGTTTGTGAGTTTTTTTTACTTTTATAAATAATAATATGTCCAAAATAAAGGCATTGACTTAAAGTGCCGTAATTATCATAACAAGTGTCTCAGGCAACTGCAGCACAATAAGCACAACTCAGTTTTCCGCGTCTGTTCCTTTAAGAGCTGCTCTCTTCGAGGACTCCCTGACGCATTGCAGGTGGCTGATAACCAATCAAAAGACATTTCCTAGGTCAGCTGATGAACGCCATCACACTTCTATATATAAACTCTCGGAACATACGCTCAAGCGAAAGCCGCCGTTGTTTGCTAAAGCATTTAGGAAGGATAATGCTAAAAACCCGATGATAACACTATATTGATTCATTAAAAGAAAATAAAACGCTTTAATTTTTTTGATTTGGAGTTCAAACATTTTATCTCCGTGGTGTAGGGATACCATAGCAACAGCTTTGTTGTCAAGGAGTGCGACGTCCCACTTTGGACCGAAGAGCCAAGGCGGAGTGATATTGAAATTTGGGCGCACAGCAGCAGAAGATAGTGCTTGACAATCGCACGGGTGGGAAGCAACGCTTGGATTTTCGTTTATTTTCTCTACGTAACGAGCAACGTAGTCCACACTAAAATACAATGGTAAGCACGGCTTCATTGCTTTATCCTAATAGCCAAAGTAAAACGTAGCTATACAAAAATGACTGGGTGTAATGGCGAGGTGATAGGTGTGAATGGACTAGCGTTAGCTTAGCTCCTCGGGAGCTAGCCGTCATTCTGTTGAAAGAGCGCGCGAGCTCCAGGGCAAACGTCACTTAAAAACGGATTACACGCAGTTTTCACACTTCACAATGCAACGTAAATATTTTGCAGCACTTCATATTGTCTCAAAATTGTGCCAAGTGTTTACAGCGTGAAATGCGTTTTACTAGCACATCCTTGATTGATTCCCTGTTGCTAGCTCGCCTCATGTCGGCGTCGGCAGGCAACGGCTCGAAAAACATCGTTGATGGAGGTACAACTCGGCCTCATTTAACTTAGACAGGACCATGAACATTTTTGTGCAAAATGGCTCAGCTTTTTCCCTAATATTTGTTTATAATTTGAGATCGGATGCGAACTAATTTATTCAGTTGCCCTCTAACTATCGTATAAGCCATATTCAAATACATTAAAAACAGCGCGTATGCTATTTTAGTCAAATGCAGCAGTGTAGTCTGCCGTGACAGCGGCGTTTTGCTAATTCACAGAGCCATGAGTTGGGCGTTGTAGTGACGAATGACATCATCAAACTTGTAAAACGCGCTATCAGGTGTTGAACACGTTCAGTTCACGCAATATAGGAAGTAGAGCTTCAGGATGACTTGAAACAATCTTTATTATAATCTATAATTAATTATTGCCTTTTGTGTTCTTCCTTGTAGGCTGATCAGCTAACAGAGGAGCAGATTGCTGGTAAGGAGAATAATTGAATGGTTCATAGAAAGAACAATATCAAAGAATTTACTCCCCATCACAGATGTATTTACTTTTCTTATTTCAGACAAACGAAGTTCTATTAATGTCATACATTCACTGGTGGGTTCTATTGACAGCAAATAGAAAAAATATTCTGTTTGACTTGATCAAATATTGATTCACTCTACATTCAAAGCTTTACATTTAGTGTTTATCTTGGGAAGAACATTTTTAATAAGACCTTGCCATAGCATACAAATAGTACTTTAAACCTTTTACTGAACTCCACCATCATCACAAACTGCCAAGTTTTACATTTCAAAATTGTTTTACAATTTAATGAAACTTAGATAGGTGTTTGGCCTTAATTTAATAGCAATTTTACATATCAAACATTTTGTAAAACACTTATTTTACTTAATTTTTAGTACAGTATTTTTATTGTACAATTGCATTTGTGACTTATTCTTTCTTTTTTTAAAATTACGTTTTTCTATTTGGGTCTATGTTGCATGGTGTAGCGCATTTTCACATCTATGTTCATAATGAGTGGTAACAGTTAACAGGTTACGTAATACTCAGAGTAAGTTTGATGGCAGCAAACAGTGCCTGAGATCTTGAATCTCCAAAAATGCATACGCGATCATAAAAGTAATCCATAAGACAAATATCCATATTTAGGTCTTTTATCTCTGGCATCCAGCAACTTCGATACATGCTTCCAACACATATTGGAAAATCCATTTTAAGACTGATATTTGTGTAAATCTACAGTTTATAACTGATTTTCACATCTTCCTTCAAAGAAAGCCATCAGTTCACATTTTCTGCCACTGAAACTTAGGACCCATAATCAAATATATAGCAGGTATGTCAAACCTGTGCTAATAGTTTTGGATATGAATGTTTTTCTTACAAATGTCCATCACTTTGCTTTAGTAGCTATTCGTTAGCCCACTAGAGATGTGTGGATAAACTTTTATGATGGAAAAACTCTAAATCTTCAAAAACTCAGTGCCCTATTACAAAGTTGGGAAAAGACTGCAAATCATTTAATATAACTGACTGTTTACCTGAAAGAAAAAGACATATACACCTAGGACGTCTCTAGTATGAGTGAACTGTAAGATTATTTATTAAACTTTTCCTTTAGATTAGAAATATGACATGCAGATAATTGTGGTATAAAATTAACCAATTACATATGCATCTATTTACTTTCTAGAATTCAAGGAGGCCTTTTCCTTATTTGATAAAGACGGTGATGGCACCATCACAACTAAAGAATTAGGGACTGTCATGCGGTCTTTGGGCCAGAATCCGACAGAAGCAGAGCTTCAGGATATGATCAACGAAGTTGATGCTGATGGTGAGGAAGCTCTTCCATATATAATGCCATAATCATGTTGTGGAGTGTTTCTAAATCTGTCATCTTTCTACTCCTTCCTCAGGCAATGGAACAATTGATTTCCCAGAGTTCCTTACTATGATGGCCAGGAAGATGAAGGACACAGATAGCGAGGAAGAGATCAGAGAAGCATTCAGAGTTTTTGATAAGGTAGAGAAAATGTTGTTGCCTTTAAATGCCTGTTATTGTAGGAACTTGCTTTTGAATGAACTTTATCTGATTCAGTGACTGTTGTTATACAGGATGGAAACGGTTATATCAGTGCTGCAGAGTTGCGTCATGTCATGACAAATCTGGGGGAGAAGCTTACAGATGAGGAAGTGGATGAGATGATCCGGGAGGCAGATATTGATGGTGACGGCCAGGTTAACTATGAAGGTATTTTCACGTTAATGTTGTTAATGTGCAAACACACATAAAATCTTATTAAATGGCAAGCTTGTGGTTTTATAATTGGTGTTTGGAAAAAAGCATATAACTAATTTAATTTAAATAACACAAGATGTAAAAAGAGATAGTTAAAATGGAAAAAAATAATAAAAATGGTAAAGTGTAACATGATTTAAATACTAATTTTCAAAAGCTTAAGCTTAATTAGAATAAAATATAAAGTTACAAATCGCATAAAATTAATATTATATTTATGCCTCTCTTGGACATACACCTATTCAGAAGAAGTAAATACATGAGGAAATTAATAAATACATTACTATATAAAGAACCATGTGGTGCAACTTTATTTTTTCTTCCATATAATATTTATAAGATTTGTAATACATTTTCACAGTATAAATTCCCTCTTTATTGATGAGGAACTCTAGGAAAGCATAAAGTATGAAAATTTATTTCTCAAGTTATTTTTAACAGATTAAATTGGCAGTAATTAAATTAAACCTATATATATATATATATATATATATATATATATATATATATATATATATATATATATATATATATTAAAAAATAAAAAACTTTTGCAATCTAAATTCAGTTTAAAACCTTTTCATTTCAGTAAATTAAGTAGAAAGTGTAGCTAATATATTGTTAGGACCGTTTATAATATAAGTAGGTCTGTATAGTATTAAGATATAAAACCTCTAGTCTAAAACAATATAAAGGTCATATTGTTAAAAAAAATAATAATAGAAAAGCTTGTGGAAGTGGTTTATATAGATTTACATGTTTACTTCTCTTTATTTTCTCTTTTGTCTCCACAGAGTTTGTCCAGATGATGACAGCAAAGTAAAACTGGAAACCAAAAGGAGCACAACAGACCAAACAGTGGGCAGCACTCTCACTGTTAACCTTCAACAAGCATTCACAACCCAGTCTTTTACTCCTCTCCATTTAGTTTTGCTCTCTTCAATCCTTCCCTTAGTTTGATCAGTCCTCTGCTCTGCTTGTTTTCGAACACAATCTCCTGTCATCTTCATCCTCCGCATTATCTGGTTTTCTTTGGAAGAAAAAATATTTACATGCACAACCAAGTTTAAATCTTGCATATATGATGGTGATGACAACAACAGTGTAACACATGTATCTATATTTTAAAGATTGTGACATACTATATGGACAAGAGCAATGCATGCTTTATTTATGTTTGGCATGTTTCTGTGTGTGCGCGTGTGTGTGTTTTTTTTTTCTTCCCAGCTTGCCTCTTTTTCTAACTTGCTAGTTCTCCTTTAACTGCATGTTTCTCATGCAACCTCTGCTCAGTGGTCTTAGAACTGTATGGTGAATAACCATTCATGGATAATCAGGGGCTTTATATAACAAAATGGCTCAAACTTCCATGTCATAGTGTGATTGTTTTTGTAAGTGTAAATCTGTGTGTCTGAGCGAGTGCTTGCAGTTGGATTTAAAGTGGAGCCACGCAGTTCAGTTTACGTTTTGGTATAGGGCTTGTTCATTAGGGACTGCATAACTAATATTTAAAAATGAAGGAATTAAATTATACAAACCTGCATTTAATAATCCAAAAATGGTTAATTGGGGACCAGTTATTTCAGTTAACAATTGCTTCTTTTGCCCCTATTTGTATTCTTTGAGATAAGTGGTGGAAAGTCTTTGACCTCCTTTCCATTCTTACTAATTTTTCTACCCCAAAGCAAATGCCACCAATTTGTTCTAGACTGGTGTCGAGAGGTTTAACGTTTGGTTTGAGCTCTATTGGTGTGGAGTTTGTACTGAAGATGTAGAATAGTTTTCACTTTACTATACAGTCTTACATTTTTGATGCTGCACTTGGTGTCCTAGTCAGTGAACCATTTCTTTCTGAGGAAAACTATTACATTTAAAGCTGTGTGCTGATTCTTCCTGCAGGCTGGTCGATATATTTGTATTCATCAAAAGCACCTGCGTCGTATGATCTTTTCAGAATAATTTATCATGGAAACAGCGGCATGTTCTCCTCTTCCATTGGTCTTGTAGTCGTGCTCCATGCACAGTGGCTCCAGATAGACTGTCTGCCATGAAACCTGCAAATGCAGGCGCTTTGAATGAAATCCAATTTCTTTTCTTCTTTTTTTGTAACTGTATAAACCAAGGTTAAACAAACAGCGCTTGATGGTAGAATCACATACATTATGGTGGTAGTATTGCATCTTCTGCCCCAGTTTTAATTTATTCTGCTGTTGTTGTTTTTTATTACCTTTATATGTTCTTTTTTTCTGAGAAGTTTACTGTCTGGTTCTTTTTTTTCCTCTCTCTTCCTCTGCCCATACGGTAATATAGTTAAAAAATGAAATGTTATGCATTCCATTGCAGAACTCTGGTTTTCTTGCTGAATAAACGTCTTGGACCTCTGTTTCTAAATTACCTCTTTTTGTTCATAACACTGTTGCCTATATAACTGTAAACCTGCATGGGCTTATTAAACAATAGTGTAAGAGAGACAGAAAAGTGCTTTTAATGCAAATCTATTGTGTTTATTGTCATTTGTTTACACAAATCTACATTCAGTTTTTTGAATTTCTGAATGGCATGAAAAGAAAGGATTCACCACTTGGAATATTTGCAATTCTTTTAAATGAACTTCACACACTTCATTGCAATTCAGTACGACCATGTTGGAAACTAATCAGAAATCAGTTTATTCTTGTACAAACATTTGGTACTGTGCTCATTTTTTTGGGAAACTCATACAAGACATTTAGTTAGGATTTTAAAATTTAAAGAACAGTTTTGAGTACATATTGTGGAAAAAAGAATTATATATAAAAGTATTACATTTCTATGAACTTACAATTATTTAATTTTAACTTAACTTTGAAAAGAGACCAAAAATAATTGCTTAAAAGCATTCAATTAAGCTCAAAAAGTACTTAACGTCATAATATAAATTTTGCTCTATATGATTAGATAGGTAACACTTTACAATAAGGTTCCTTAGTTAATGCATTTACTAACATGAACAATACATGTACAGCATTTATTAATCATAATTAAACAATTGCTAATGCATTATTAACATCCAAGTCCGTGCTTGTTAACATTAGTTAACGCACCATGAGTTAACATGAACTAACAATGAACTACTGTATTTTCATTAACTAACGTTAACTAACATGAATAAATACAGTAGTAGATGTATTGTTCATTGTTTGTTCACCTTAGTAAATGCATTAATTAACATTAACTAATGAACCTTATTGTAAAGTGTGACCATTAGATAAAACGAAATAAAATGTGTTATTTTAAGTAAAATGTAGATAAAATGTATTTTTGCCACATGAACCACATTAAAAGGTTAATGTTACACGTTGCAAACCAAAAAAAGTTAAAAGAAAATTAAATTTGAGAGGTGTAAACTTAAAAACGTGTGCTGTTATTTATATCATGCATTTGTAGTGTTTTCCTCGTCTAGAAACTACAACTCCCAAGTTTCCTCAAACGTCCAATAGCAGTACCTGTACAAAGCTCTTGATGACTGACGTGACGCAGAGCGAATAAGGCACTGCCTATTTCATCCCCAACCAATCATATAAATGACAAGTGAGTGGTGGGCGGGTAAGGCAGATTCGCAAAACACACCAATAGTTTGGCAGCATACAGATGGGTGGATTATTGATTCTAGAAAACATTTGCAACGGGCCAAATACTAAATAGTGTGATGAAGTGATTTAGGCAGAACAAGCCAACTCAGACGACCTGAACGCGACATTGGTAATAATTTAGGAAAGCTGCACCATTCGGCTGCGACAGACACACTGACAGGAGATGTAAATGAGCGAATTCGGGCCAAGCGCATAGTTACTTCACTAAGCATCCACGCTAGTTGCGTACACTCGATATTCACCGACTTTACGCACAGGGGTTTGTACGTCTTCACGCTCCTTCTGGAGGAACTTGAGCTGCTGTGAGACAAGAAAAAGAAGGTAAGGCTGCATTCTCACATGATATGTGTTCATAATATTAAATGACAGCCGTTTTTTTGTCTTAAACCACGTTATATCTCATGCACGGTGTGGATATGATGCTTATGAACACAAGCTGCAGGATGTAACTCGCTCACAACTACGTTGCCTTTTCCCCAATGAACAAACAGTCGTGGTTTCTGCAGTAAACATTTATGAAACGGGTTAGATTAGTTTGTTTTTGAAGACGTGCAGCATGCGACCAAAGTGCGCTGGACTCTCGTGCTTTCCTCTGTTTGCTAAGCCATGTGCCAAATGAATGAAGCAAACTGGACAAGCTGATGGGCTTGCCTCACATGATTGCCCTATAAACTATTTACTGCCACATAACTAAACAAACTCTTCGTGGCTTCACACACGTTTGAAGAGTGCAGAATAGTTGACACTAACCACAGGAAAGAGCTCTTCATTGCGCAGCAAGTTGAGGTTCACTTTCGGGTTGGCAGCTGTCCTCCGCAATTCAGCATTCATCTGTTCAGTCCGAGCATGACAGTAGAGTCTGAAGTGTCCGTGATCTCCAAAATCTTTCTTTAAATAGAACCGTTCACTTTTACTTTAAGACATTATGTGTTCTGCTTAATCAGGAGGTTGTCTAGTCACAGTTCAATAATGAACCCAGTGTTTTTGCTTGTATAGTATACAAAACTTTTTAATTCGAATAGTGCTTTTTTCATATGGGTTGACATGTGTCAGGAAAGTTGGTATGTCACTGAATAGAATTTTGTTTTCTTTTTGGTTCTTATCGGTTTAACTTTTATTTTAGCTTGTAACAAATCTAGTTACATATAAGGTATAGAAATGTGTATATTTTGAGTTCAGAGTTGACCCTCATCTTTAATCCAACAGTTGCACACATATAACCTATAGCCAGTGGTGGAAAGAGTACTGAAAAAAGATACTCTTGTAAAGTACCATTACTTGCCCAAAAATTATAGTTCAATAGCGTAAAATATCTATTATAAATATTACTCAAAGTCTGAGTAAAAAGTAGCCCTTTTTTAAAGGACTCACGAGTAGTGAGTATGACGCTGTTAAGGGGCTTTTATATGCAATTTGTGCTGGTGTGTGTAAACGTAACATTCTGTAGTGCATTTAGTTTCAATATTTAAGGGTGTGTGGGTCATTGCGTGTAAAGATTTTGGTCATCTCCTTGAAAACTTGTAATGCTTTCAAACAGTTTGCTGCATTTATATATTGCCTGTCTTGAGGTTGTTCAATATCGATGTGATTTATTTTCAATGTGCAAAAAAATCCACTCTGTCAATCACCTAGACAAGAAATAAATATAGTGACTGCAGGTGGAAGTAGTGGAGTAAAAGTACAGATACAGCTCAAAATGTACTTAAAGTAAAATAAAAGTACACATTTTGAATAAACTACAATTCCTGAAAAAAAACTACACGATTACAGTAAACAATGCCTTTGATTTTAAACAAAGCAGATCCCTCATATAATGTAGCTACTAAAAGACAGAAAATATTACTTTACAAAATGTATTTGAAACAAATTATAAAAACATTTTTATATTAGTCAATAATGTTGCTGAAATAAAAAAAAGAATAAATGTTAATAGTTAATACAAAGACTTAATGATGGGCTTAAAATCTGCAGATTTCTGTGTGCGCAGATTCCATGTGGGCCTCCTATAACTTCTGCATTTAAATGTATATTTACCTATATCTTCTGTTTTTAAAAATGACAGTAAGTTATTCTTTGTCAATGGAAAAAAGGCATCAAAGCCACTTTTTAAATCCTGGCTTTCAGAATTTTCTGGATCTTTACATTTAGAGAGACTTGGACAAAACCTTTCTGATAACATTGCTGGCATCGAAACCTTTTTTTTTTAGTTATGTCAAATGCCAAGAATAACAGTTTAAAGGTATAACCCTGTCATTGTCTGCAAGATCACCATATTGCCTGTGCCCACTGGCCTAGAAATATATGTGTAACATTGTTAACCTAAAACTGGAGAAACTGATGTAATAATGGTTTTTAAATCTTTTTTCCCCTCCTTTTTTGATCTTTTACCTTTTCATTTCTGTCTTTATAATTGTTGTTGCTTTTTGTTTTAATTTGTGTTGCTTTAAGATATCTATATATATCTATACATCTATATATCTATATCTATATATATATATATATATATATATATATATATATATATATATATATATATATATATATATATATATAGATAGATAGATAGATAGATAGATAGATAGATAGATAGATAGATAGATAGATATCCAGTGAATGAATGAATTCATTCATTCATTAATTCATTCCATCCATCCATGCATCCATCCATCCATTTTTCTTGTTAGTTTTTCATCTTAACATTAACATCAAAACATGTCAATTCATCAGACTATTGTTGTGTGCATTGCTCTAAAACTAAACTTCAGTATATAAGATGGAGTTCTCAGTAGTAACTGTACCCGGATTACATAATCAGGTGGCAAAAATGCAGACTATATTACGTTTTGATATACTCATAATATTTTTTTTAATCAATTTGATTAGATTTGAATTGATAAATGATCTGATTTCAATTCCAGTGCAGTTAAAAACAAGTAATCTAGAAAGTTTCTGATTATATTTTTCATTTTAGAGTTTGTAATCGGTAACAGACTCTGCTGTGGCAAGTTTTAAACCTGAAGCAGTAAAAAAAATCTCAAATGTTTAACTGCCTCTTTTTAGGATCAACTGTAACTAATGCACATAAAATGACTTTGAAAGTTAAGAAAAATGATGAGCAATACGCATCACTGGATATTACTGTCAGTTCTTAAACAGTTTTTAAACCGTTTTTAAACAGTTGTCAAACATTTCCTCGTTTTCTTCCGGAATATGACTGTGCTTGATAGGGAAGGTATTTTTGTCAGACTTGTCAGGTATGATTCCTCCTCTGCATTGTCTAAACACGCCTAATAAAGAAGACACTTTTTTAAAGTCTTACCTTGGATTTATTATCTGTTCATTCAAGACATAACATGCAACGGCACTCAAGCCCAAACATCTGTTTTTTTTCATTTGTTTTGGAGTTCATTTATTGATGCGTCAACCAACACGGTCTTGGTGGTTGAAGGAAAAGGAAACCGACTGCAATTGTTTAGAAACCTATTATCCTATTAACGCAGAGTTTCATCATTTACAAGAACAGCTTGCATGGACCGCATTGCTGGAAGTTGAAGGAGGAAGTTGGCTGAAGATTTCTGTCTTTTCAGAAATGTGATAAATATTATCTCTCCTATCAAAGGTTGTTGGAGGGTTGCCAAGTACAGTATGTGAATACCAGTTTTTATTTGGGTAGTTTAGCAGAGTGACTTAATATTAGGGCTGAACAATATATCATTTGAACATCGATATCGCAATGTGTGTATTTGCGATAGTCACATCCCAGGATAAGATTATTTATTAAAAGAGAAAGATATAAATAAATAAATGTTGTTTTATTTACAATTGTTTATACAATGGTGACCATGTTATTTTACATTTGATTGTACAATTTATCAAGTACAATTTCTGTACTTGAATAATGATGCCCCATAAACCCATAAAGCACCATTTATTTATTTTTGCTCGTAATTCATGTAGATGCACTGCATGGTAAAACACTTGATTATAACAGTCTGTCTGAATTAATAAAATGTTTCCAAATTCAAAATAAATCATCATCATATTCAAATCATCTGCTGAATTATATGCATATTGCAATATATATTGCTGTAAAATAAAATATTGTAATGTCAGATTTTTTCCAATATTGTGCAGCCCTTCTTGAAATTCGTTTTTAAATACAAAAAAAATGTCTGCATTTGTTCTGTATTCTGATATCTGTCAGATGCTTCGATTAAAATATGAGATTTTTACATAATTTGTCACGTGGCAGACCCATTTAAAAGTAACTTGTTCATTTAAAGGTGATTTTAATATTTGTTACTAATTAATAAAAACAACAAAGTAACAAACAGTTGATCGAATTTATGCAAATTTCTTTGCAAATATCAAATGTATAATCAGTACGTTCTCATGGGTGCTGTATTAGTTGGTATAAAATACTGATTTGCTTTTGGTCATATTGTCATATGCAGAGATTCACCTTTGACTCAGTTTTTTGTTACCTATTTTACAGCATTACACAATGCTGAATATGTTTTATGAAGAGCAGCAGGTGTCTGATTTGACCCTTATGGACTTCTTTAGAAACCTGATGACTCTTAAATTATGGGATAGATCTTAGTCATCATCACTAGCCACATGGCAGCACTTAAAGCAGTCTGTTCACGCAGCTGTATGATTATATCCCAATTGGCACTGTTGTAATTATTTTACTTGTGTATTCATACATGTACAGTGGCTTAATTATGTACCATAGTACACCAAAAAATGTTATATGGGGTAAAATAAGGTAGAAACATTCTCTTACTGTTAGCGATTAGTGTCAGTTTCTACTAGCAACATGTTAATTTGTTAACATGCTATCAACATGCTAATTCATATCAGCAACATTAATATATTAATTTAACACACTGGTGGCACTGGGGCTCAGTGGTTAGCACTGTCGCCTCACAGCAAGAAGGTCACCGCTTCAAGTCCCGGCTGAGTCAGTTGGTGTTTCTGTGTGGAGTTTGCATGTTTTCCCCTTGTTAGCGTGGGTTTCTTTCGGGTGCTCTGGTTTCCCTCACAGTCCAAAGACATGCTCTATACAGCTAATTTTGTTTATTAAATTCATCTAGTTTATATGTGTGAATGAGTGTGTATGCATGTTTCTCTGTACTGGGTTGCAGCCAGAAGGGCATCTGCTGTGTAAAACATATGTTCATTCTCCTGTGGCGACCACTAATGAATTAAAGGGACTAAGCCGAATGAATGAATTAATGAATGAATGAATAAATGAATGAATTTAACATGCATTAACTAAATAAGAGGCAAGAAAGTTGTAAACATCATGCTAAAAC